TTTAAATATTCTTCTCCAAAACAATCATTTAAATGCGTCAATTCTTCTATGGTTTTCCTTATTCACTGTCCAATTTTGCATGCATATCAGGTTATTGAAAATACCCTGGCTTGGGTCAGGCACACTTTAGTCATCAAACTGACATCTTTGCTCTTGAAGTCTTTAAAGAGGTTTTGTTTAGTAGATTTGCCTAATGCCATATGTCACTTAATTTCTTGACTGCTGTTTCAATGAATGTTGATGGTTGATCTGAGCAAAATGAAGTCTTTGACAATTTCAATCTTTCTGCATTTATATGGATGTGTTTATTTGTCCAGGGGTGAGGATTTTTGTTTTTCACATTGAGATATAACCAATACCAAAGGCTGTGGTCTTTGATCTTCATCAGTAAGTATTTTAAATCCTCTTCACTTTCAGCAAGGAAGGTTGTATCATCTGCATATCTCAGGTTGCTAATGAGTCTTCCTCCAATCCTGATGCCATGTTTTTCTTCATATAATCCAATTTCTCAGATTATTTACTCAGCATACAGATTGAATGAGTATGGTGAAAGAATACAACCCCGTTGCACATCTTTCCTAATTTGAAACCATTCAGTGTTCCCTTGTTCTGTTCAAACAACTGCCTCTTGGTCTACATACAGGTTCCTCATGAGCACAATTAAGTGTTCTATTATTCTTCACAATGTTGTCCATAGCTTGTCATGATCTACACAATCAAAGGCCTTTGTGTAGTCACTAAAGCCCAGATAAGCATCTTTCTAGTATCTTCTGCTTTTAGCCAAGATCCATCTGACATCAGCAATGTCCTAATTTCACGTCCTCTTCTGAATCCAGCTTGAACCTCTGGAAGCTCTCTGTCAATGTATATTTGCAGCCATTTTTGTATTATCTTTAGTAAAACTTTACTCATATGGGATATCAATGATATTGTCTGATGATTTTCACATTCTGTTGGGTCACTTCTGTTTGAATGGGTACAATTTGGATCTCTTCCAGTAAGTTGGCCAGTTGTCTTCCAAATTTCTTGGCATAGATGAGTGAGTGCCACATCATTTTGTTGAAATATTTCAATTTGTATTCCATCTATTCCAGGTATCTTATTCTTTGCCAGTGCCTTCAGTAGACCTTGGACTTCTTTCTTCAGGATCATTGGCTCTTGATCATATGTTACCACTTGAAATGCTTGAACATAAAATTTTTCTTTTTGGTACAGTGATTCTGTGTATTCCTTCCATCTTCTTTTGATGCTTTCTGCATCATTCAATAATTTGCCCATTGTTGTTGTTGTTATTAGGTGCCATCGAGTCGGTGCCGACTCACAGTGACCCTATGTACAACAGAACGAAACACTGCCTGGTTCTGGGCCAACCTCACAATTGTTGCCATACTTGAGCCCATTGATGCTGCCATTTTGCCAATCCATCTTGCTTGGGGTCTTCTTTTTCTCTGACCCGCCACCTTACCAAACATGATATCCTTCTCCAGAGACTGCTCCCTCCTGACAATATGTCCAAAATATGAAAAATGAAGTTTGGCCATCCTGGCCTCTAAGGTGCAGTTTGGCTGCACTTCTTCCAACACAGATCTGTTTGTTCTTTTGGCATCCCATGGCACTTTCAATAGTCTCCTCCAACACCACAGAATCCTTCAATACTGCAATAGAGGCTTGAATTTTTTCTTCAGTTCCCTCAGCTTGAAAAATGCTGAGTGTGGTCTTCCCTTTAGGTTTTCTAACTTGAGGTCTTTGCACATTTCTACATAATATTTTGTTTTGTGTTCTCAAGCTGACCTTTGAAATTTTCTGTTCAGTTCTTTTACCTCTTCACTTCTTCCATTTGCTTTAGCATCTCCACACTGAAGAGTAAGCTTCAGAGTCTCTTCTGATATCCATTTTGGCCTTTTCATTCTTTCTTGTCTTCTTAATGACCTTTTGCTTTCTTCCTGTATGATGTTCTTGATGTCATCCCACAACTCTTCTGGTCTTTGGTTTTCAGTGTTTCATACATCAATTCTGTTCTTCAGATGATCTCTAAATCACATGGGATATGTTCAAAGTCATAGTTTGGCTCTCATGGACTTTTTATTTAATTCAGCTTCAACCTGAATTTGCATATGAGCAACTGATGGTCTGTTTCACAGTCTGCCCCTGACCTTATTTTGGCTGATGATATGGAGCTTTTCTACTGCCTCTTTCCATAGATGTAGGCAATTTGATTTCTGTATATTCCATCTGGTGAAGATAAATTGCTAATCCCTAAACTGAAAATCCATTTGGACTCTGAAAATGGTAAAATACTTATGTTCATCTCCATTATTGACACAGATGTTTTGATACTAGAAATACTTAATTTTTGGCCTTCTTTTGGTTCACAAAAGGACTCCAATACATTTAAGAAAAAGAATCTGCCTCTAAAGCTCAGAGAACCCGTATCTTACCTGGACATTTTGCTCAAACAAAGCCTTCAATATAAAATTTTGGGAAAGACATGTTAGTACTAATCTCAACAACATATCTTCATTCTGCAGTTTGAAACATGTTATCAATCCTTCTCCAGAATATCAAACTAGAAGTCCTGGTGTAGTACTATAGGATAAGCACTCTACCATAAGGTTGGTTTGAACTGGAAGGTCGATGGTTCAAACTCATTGGTGCTTCTCGGAAACCCTATATATGTCACTATGAGTCAGAACTGACTCATTTTTTTCTGGATCAGTGAGTGAATGTTATAACAATTTTTTAAGAGAAATTTGTGAATTCACTCACAACCCAACATTTGCTAAATTCGTTCTCATGCTTTCCTTGCAATGTTCCCGAAACAAATAATTCGGGCTTTCCCCATCACGAGGCTTCATTGTACCACAATTTTATATTTTAAGTCAAGGGAAAAAATTCCAGACATGACATCAAATGTTTTCATGGGCCAAGTCCAGTATTGTGGCAGTCCTTCCTCGTGACCTTAATTGAGATCAAGGGTATTTGTGATGTCTCAATGAATCTCCATATTTGCAAGGCTTAATATCAGGCTGGTGAGCTGAGCTACGTCATGAGTTGGCTTTTAGGATTAGGCAAACGACCCTTTGTCCATGGTGTGTCCAACACTCATGTTTATTAAATCTCTCTGTATTTCTGTTTCCTCATTATAAAGAGGGAGTCCTGGTGTGGCACTGTAGAATAACCACTAAATCGCAAAGTCAGTTTGAACCATGAGGTCGGCAGTTCAAACTTACCAGTCACTCCTTGAAAAGCCTATACAGGGTAGCTATGAGTCAGAACTGACTCGATGGCATTTAACAACAACAACATCATCATAAAGAGAAGAATCTACAATAAATTATTGCCCTTTCAGCAATAACATTGAAGAATATTGTGATAATAAGATTTTAGCGGCAACTGTTTTTTGCTTGTTTTTAAGATTTTGTAGAGAAAAGATTTAATCTGAATCAATAAACAAAGCTAGTAGAATAATGGGCTGCAGAATGCAAAAATGTGGTCTTTCGTCTTCTACTACAAGCCATGTTGTTGTTGTTAAGTGCCATTGAGTTGATTCTGGCTCATTGTTTCTGAGGAACAGGTAGGTTGGAACCACCCACCTTGTGGTGAGCCTACATTGCCACACCAGGAGTCCTGGAACATTGTAAAAGTCACCTCACCTTATCTTTCAGAGTCTCTGCATTATTATTTCTATCCCAGAGACAATAAAATTACCTCTACTTATTTCATAGGGGTGTTGTGGAAATGAAATATGTGCATGTACTTTTGGAATTGTAGAGTGCCAGGCTAATGTATCTTCTTGCCTGAGAGGAGAATTTGGGAAGGAAGAGAGAAATACAAGAAAATTTGATAAATTTGATAAAGCATTAACCAATACAATAAGACCATTTGGTTCATAGGCTTAGGTCACTCCAGGTTTGAAAGGTAGATGGATTTAGGCATGTGGACAAATCTCATGAAAGAGTTCGCCTAGATGCTAAGAAGGGATCTAAATCCCTTGCAGCCCAAGGTGGTGAGAAGTGGCATTTGCCAGTTTTCTGAAGCTGTTCCAGACTTGCGAATTCTGTTTGAGAACGTCATCCCCCAAACTTCAGAGCTTAGAGACCTCTACAGAGGAAGGAGGCTGGTGGTCTACACTGCAAGTCATGTTTGTCAGCGTGCAAGCTCCACCTGGCAGTCACTTCTTGCCTTTGTAGCCTCCCACCCCCCATTTTGGGTAGCCAATGTCCAAGTTGCCCATCCCTGTCTACTCTGTGTGGAGGGGGTGGGAATGATTCTTGCTGTAAGGACTTGTTCCCTCTTTTGAGCTACTGCTTCCATAGGTGTAGGTCAAGTTCATCAAATTGTATGAGAATACTTTTTTTTTTCCCTCTTCTTTTTACTTCTGGTTGAGCTGTGATCATCCAGTCACTGAAGCCAGAACACGTGGGTGTTCTTATGCATATGCCCTCTCTTCTTATCAGCTGGACGCTTCACTCTCCACTCAAGTCCTCTGTGGCTATGTCACTGACTCTGGGCCCAAGAGTCCCCAGGTCTTGCCACACTGCTTGCCAACCAGGTCTTCACCTGTGTTCACAGAAGTCTATTGAACGTTTAGGGCTTAGCTCACCTCTTCATTGCTGTTTTTCCCTCACTTCCCCTTATTGGTGTCGAGCGTGGTTACCAATCACAGTGTGTATTCCCATTGAGTCTTAGTCTTGGAAGGGGGTTTGCACTGAGGGGACCCGACCACTTGCCTTGATGTTTCCTGGGCAAGCATGTTGCTTGTTCTTGTAGTAACAGTCGGTCTGCCTATGTTGTTTTAGTCCCTGTACACTTCAAACTTCTCATCTGAAAAATGGAAATGATCCTATACTTAACCCTAAAGCGTTGCTGAGAAGCTGCCATGAAATAATTGATGTAAATAAAGCACTTTTGTTTTGTTTTTGCTATTCTGCATGTAGTGACCCAATTCTGGGTCAGGTCAGGGAATTTGAAGAGTTCCACTAACACACCAAACATTTTACCTGTGAAAAAGATGTAAGTGGAGCCTGTTTTGGCCTCATCCTTTGTGCAGATATAGCCACTGCAGAGTTGCAGCCAACAGCTGAATTCGCCCGTATCGGCCGCGGTGGAGTTGACCAGGGTCAGCTGGCCATAGCGCTCGTGTTGTTTCACACTGTCAATACAAAAAGGTGGGAATGAAAGCCAGGTCAGTCCTGGGCCCGTGCCACAAAGCCATCACTCTGTGCTTCTTTGTGCTCAGACATAAATGCCCCAGTGAAATGCATCAGCAGTCTCTGAGATTGCAAAAAACTGAAAAAAAAAAAAAAGAGTGTGTATATATATATATACATATACACACACACACATATACATACATACATATGGCGGAAAGGGTGTGGATTAGTGGGAGGGGGATGGCAGAGAAAATAGCTTTTCCTAAAGGGAAATAATAAATGGCAATTGTGCTTTCCAAAGAAAGGAAATTCTCTTTGCCCTCAGAACTGGGGTTTCCTTAAAGTTTGAGCTGAGTTTAAACAAAAGCACTGGTGTATGAGCAACTCAGCCACAGAAGCTCAGTCAAAAAGCCTTGGGCTGATGTTTTGCTTGGGTTGAGGCTTTGTTTCTGAATGAATTCATTTAAAGAGCAGTCAGGAAAGTACACAGGGATCTCCACTATCTAGAATCTCTTCCATCAATGCAAAGGAATACAGATTCAGAATGTAGAATTGGAATTTTAGGGGCACCACATTTTCATAGCAACATTTTTAAACTTTTGTTAGGCAAAACAAGAAAAAAAAATTGCTAAAATGCAGAGCCCAAAATATGCATCTCACTTCTGGAGAAGTGCTCAGAGTCCTTGGGCATGTGGACTTTCCCTTTAACCTCATTGTTTGCAAAACCCTTCCTTTGTTGTTGCTGTTGTTAAGTGTCACTGAGTCAGTTCCAGCTCATAGTGACCCTGTATAGAGTTTCCGAGGAGTAGCCGGTGGGATAGAACTGTCGATCTTGTGGTTCACACTCCAATGCTAATCCTACAGCATCACACCAGGAGTCTACAATTCCTTTATGAAATATTTATTAAACACTAGTGTTTATCCAATTGTAATAGCAATTGATTGATTTCTATTGTAACAGGATTCCAGATGTATCATCCTTTGAATAGATGCTTTCCTGTGGCTTATGACTCTCACTTGACAAGTGAAAGATGCCAAGAGAAATTATTTTAATTTGATGATACATCTCGCATATTCAAATGCTGTCCTCCTCTAAGGTCTGTGTACTTTTCTAACATGGTGGGGGCATTCCTGTGTTTATCTTGCAGCAATATCAATATTGTCCACCACTTTAAATTTAGCACATGCAAACTGTCTACTTTGTTGGTCCTAATCACAACACTGTTTGTTTGGGTTCACTGCTAAATAACTGTTATGCATGCCAGTTAGTACTGCCAAGAGGTGCCTCTGTACACCCACGCCATCAACTGTGTCCTATAAACTAAACGGAAATCTCTCCTCCTTCAGGAAGCTTCTAATTAGCATCGACTTTCTCCTAGTGATGTAATTGACTCCCTTGTTTTCTACTCCCGGGACACTCCTGGCTTCCTGTTGTTACACTAGTTGGTACAAACTTCAAGGGCAGAGACTGTGTCATATTTGCTTTATGACAGAATACAGTAAACGCTCCACCAAAAAAAAAAAAAAAAGAGTCAATTGAAATTGAAGTGAACCTCAGCATTGGAAGTAAAAACTACCTTGAGAAACAGGTATCCAGTTCCCTATTTTGCAGATGAGGAAACAGAGTCTCAGGCACTCAAAGGTGACTGAGATCCACAGATGACGAATGGCTGAACCAGTCTTCTCTGAGTCATTAAATAAGAAAATGCATATAAAGCACTTCATGCAATAGCTGGTTTATAGTAGTTTCCTAAATATGTCTTAATTACATAGAAGTACAGATTAAGAGTAGTTACTGTGAATACTACTACAACAACAGTTGTACAGACTGTCGAGACGCAGTTGCTCAAGCAGAACAAGGGGATATTGAATGGTTTAAAATCTGGAAAGATGTGCACCTGATTACATTTTTTGACCATTCCTATTCAATCTGTATTCTGAACAAATAATCAGAGAAACTGGGTTATATAAATAAAAATGTGGCATCAGGACTGGAGGAAGACTCATTAACAATCTATGATATGCAGATGACACAATCTTGCTTGCTGGAAGCAAAGAGGACTTGCTATATACTTACTGATGAAGATCAAAGACCATAGCTTTTAGTATGGATTGCACCTCAATGTAAAGATAACAAAAATCATCACCACTGGACAAATAAATAACATCATGATAAGTGAAGAAAAGATTGAAATTGTCAAAGACTTCATTTTGCTTGGATCCACCATCAACACTCATGGAAGTAGCAGTCAAGAAATCAAATGATGCATTGCATTATGCAAACCTGCTACAAAAGTCATCTTTAAAGTGTGTAAGAACAAAGATATCAGTTTGAGAACTAAGGTGAACCTGACCCAAGCCATGGTATTTCAATAGCCTCAGATTCATGTGAAAGTTGGACAATGAATAAGGAAGAACTTAGAAAAACTGATGCATTTGAGTTATAATGTATTGGAGACAAATATTGAAAGTGCCATGGACTACCAAAAGAACAAACAACTCTGTGTTGGTAGAAATACAGCCAGATTGTACCTTAGAAGCAAGGATAGCAAGGTTCCGTCTTTCATACTTTGGACATGTCAGGAAGGACCAGTTCCTAGAGAAGGACATCATGCTTGAAAAAATGGAGGGTCCGAAAAAAAGAAGAAAACTCCCAATGAGATGGACTGACACAGTGGCAACCACAATGGGCTCAAACATAAGAACAATTGTGATGATGGCACACAGTGTTTCGGAGGATCACTAGGAGTCAGAACCAACTCAACGACACTTAACAACAACTACTACAATGGCAAACAATACACCCACACACCTTGAAGATAGCACAGCATATAAAAAACAGATGAGAAGTTTAAACTAATATAATGAAAAGATCAGAGAAAATCTAAGTGAGTCCTCTGAACTACAATGGGAACTCTGAAGAAAGATTGGTCATTGTGGTTGGAGTAACTGAGGCTGCTTTGTGGAGAGATGAATCAAGTAGAAAATGTAAAGATAGAGGTGAAATGAGGGGAAGAGAGGGCATAAAGGCAGCTTGCTCAGGAAACTACATGCCAGAGGATAATTGGGGCCTGGTCAGCTCTGCCCCAGTACAAAGTATTTGTCTGTTGAATAGAAGACAATTAATGATGATTTGTGGAGTTATTTGATTACTAACAAATTGATGAGATAGAGAGAGTAGATGGTATCACAGAATGTACTGAGAACAGTCAGAGGGGCTCACATTTTACTCACCAATTCATAGAGTACCAATTCATGGAGGTGGGAAGAGATGGGACCTCTGGCCCTGTGACAAGAGTTGGAAGTAAGAGAATCGGAATGGGAACGCAGGTGTAAGAGAGAGAAGCTGAGAGGCTGTTCCAGGGCCAGTGAGGAGCACGAGGTGCTGCAGCCGGTGTTGACTGGGCAGTAGCAATAGAACTGAGGAAAATCCAAAGAATATTTTTGGAAATTATGTATAAGAGAAGGGAGAAAGAGATAACCAGTAAAGACTAGTCAATGTGTATTTCTGTGTCAGAGAGAATACGTTTGTATCTGAGTGAAATGGAATAGTTGGGAAGAAACAGGAGATTGGGAAAGGCAAAAATAATATATTCACTACTGGAGATTTTGAATTTGTGATAAAACATGGGCCCACATAGTGAGGATGTCCTGTGACTAGGTGGAAATTCAGTCCTGGCCCAGAGGAGTAGATGCCAAAGGAATGAACTCTATGAGGTAAAAGCAGAAGAGAAAGATTGAGGACGAAACCTAGAGTCAAAACTAGGTATGAGGGAGAAAAGAAGTGGGTAGAAAAGAGAAAAATCAAGAAAGGATACCAGTAGAGGCCACAGAACATTCCAAAAATAGATGTCTGACTGTAGATGCCTTTAAGAAGGAACCATGAAAATATACACATTCAATTTGGCAGAACAAAAACCTCCTGTAATCATCAAAATAACAATTTCAATTGTGAAGTTGGATGTCAACTGATGACAAAATTTTAAAGTGGAGAGAAAACGTGTAGACCATAAAATGATCTTCTAGAATGGTCACATTCTAGTAGACCTTAGAACACAGAGTTCATACATACAAAATTAGTAAAAAAACCAATAAGTATTGATTAAGTACCTTCTCCAGGCCTAGAACTGACCTTCACTGTAGCTATAGAAATTATTAAATGCCACTCCTACCCTATCTGGAAAGTAACTGGAAACATAAAAACTTAGCACTTGGGAATAACCCTACCTCCACCATGAAATCTGCATCCTGTATCTGTTGCAGGATTGGGGGTGGAAGGAAGGAAATACACTGGAAAACATTTCTGGATTTTTTCCACCCCCTCTTATATTCAAACAATATAAAACAGGAAACAAATTATTTAGCAGGATTACAGTTGAAATGCCTGGATTTAAAATTTCCATTTCTACTAAAGGCCTCATAGAGCCTAGGCTGCAAGCTACCCAAGGGATTGGAACATAGCCTAAGGTCTCCGGGGGCAGAGTCTGTGCCAGGAATTGGAGACAAGGATTCACTAAGCCCCTACAGAACTGCTGCCTGTGTATGAAGGTGTTTCCCCCAAAGCCCATCCCTTTTCTTCTAACCATCTGACAACACAACACACTGATGGAAGAAGCAGAGGATTTAAAGTCTAGGTGGAACAAAAAGAGGTGTAGCAACAAAGTGCTAGGTAAAAGTGTAATGTAATTCGATAGCTGGATTTACACTAATTCAAGGCAGCTCTGAACTTCACCCACATCAACTCACCTCATGTTCTTCTGAACTAGCCCTTTAAGGCTTGCCTGGCCCACAGTAACCGCAGTGATGGACAAGCCCAGGTGTCAAATAGCATGGGAACAAAATTAAGACTGTGTGTCTCTCTTCCAATGGGTTCCCATGACTTATACGACACCAGTTCTATTCCCCATCAGTGGAGGCCTGAAGGTTTCTGCACAAAATTCCCTCCTCCCTTTGGGGAGCACCTATTTCTTTTTTAAAAAACTTTTTATTGTGAATCAAG